CTACTCCTTTTTTCTTTTCTTCTTGTTATTTTTTTTCTAGTTTTTAAGTAACGGTTTTTTTAGAGTGTGGATACACTGAGTTTTAAGCAGCGCGTCAATCGCGATGCAGTCGCTAATCGTCTACCGTTACACAAACATAAGTCGGATATCCGGGCGGTTATTTACCTAAACCTTCTGGTTTTTACCGCCCATGAAAAAATAATATGGATATGCTTTTCTGAATAAATGTACGTATTTGTATAACTTTAATCCTGTTATTACTTAATAATGTTTTTGCACACAATTTTACAGAATTTGTGGTAATAATGATTTTTTTTCATTGAATATGTATACAATCTTACTCTTGAGATGGTATAATATGCACTGGTTCTGAACTATCATCCTCGGTAAAAAAATGGCTCGATATCAACGTAAAAATATTTACACGAGTGAAAATGCTCGCTACCTCAGAACCCTGGTCATCCTCATTCTTTCCAAATCATGTCATACGTGTCGGCCGTCTAGGTACGTTCAATGTACGTTTTTTTCCGGTATCCCCTGATAAACAATTGTTAAAATGTTGTTTTGTAGTTAATTTATAGTTATTTAGTAAATGATATAAAAACTGCTCATTGCGAGAACCTGGGATATTTTTATTCATAATTGAAATATGAATCTTTTGTTGCAACCTCGTTGCCATAAAGTAATTTATAAGAAAAACTATTTCAACATGTGTATAATTATTTTCAATAATTTACCAAATGAAATGAAATTGTTACAATGATATAGTTTTAAATTACAATTGACAAAATGGATTTTCACCCATTACTTCTATTGTAATAAAGAATACTTAGAAATTTCAAATACGATTTACATTCATTCGAAGTGAAATTAACAGCTTTCAGACCGAATATGAAATCCTGTTAATATTTGCACATCTGCTTACATGTTGAATACAATGCACCTAATTGTAGGTGAGACCTTTATCATTACTGTGTTCTGGCAAATAAACGTATTCTATTCTATTCTGAAAGGCATATCCATATTATATTTTCGTAAGAGACAAAAGTGAAGATTAGGTAAAGAAGCGCTCGGTTATCGATCACAATACATAAGTGACATGATGCAACATAAGCGACAGCGTCGATGCAATCGCGTTAAAATCGCAAATGTCGCGATACAATCGCGAGTCTCACAAAACTCGCCGTGAGTCAATTTACATTCTAGTTTTTTTTTTATCGCCAGTGTTGCAATTTTATTACCACGTTACATCACATCAGGGCTGCCAATTAATGAAATTAATACCATAATGGTACATTTAGACGCTAATTTTAAGATTTTAATAAATAATGCATGATGTCATGTATTATGTGGTTTTATTGAAACGGCTAAGCTGTTTTCTTTTCCTTATTGCCACGAATTATTTATGTTTATATTGGTGAAGATATCGTTGCCGGAACTTGGAAAGTTCTGTGTCACTGCATACAAGTAAATTAATAGAAATTTTTGTCGTACTTCCCAATGTTATTATGTAATTATTAACGTTAAGGGTGGATGTAGTTGAATTTTTAAGTGCTCGTTTAGAATGGTCTTAATCTTAATTATTTATATAGATGTTTACATAAGGAGACGCTGCTCGTCTCGTTGAATTTGTTTTATAGTCATTGTCTTTCCCGCAGCAAGCCGGGAATATGTATGAATAAGAATATTTTTTTATAAAAATCTCTGTAGTAACGTATACTGTGTTCTACTACAAGTGAGACTAACATTTTTGATATTATAAAGCAAATTGATTCTTATTCACCGAGAATGTCAGTACACTTTTGTCTACGCATACATATCGCCCCCTGTGGCGTGAATGGACTTGGTTTTCAGGATTCATGTTTAATGTTTATTTTATGACGTGAATAATTAATTTTCGTCAAAATTGTAAGTTACGTCTATTGTTACAAAGGTCGATATTATTGCAGTAGAATAGAATATTGTTCGTCCGTCTAATTCATGTTATAAGTTTAAATGGAAAATATGTGGGCTAACAAATTGATATCGAGCTCTCGGCGTGATTAACAAACTATTTTCAGAGCTCAAAGACCGTTTGTTAGCGTTTACAATTCAATTTATTGACCGTACGATTCATAAATTCACAAGTTGTCTCGTTTGTGGCGTCATGTGATTGCTGAGTTTTGAGTGCTATTCTTTTTTAAATAGCTGTCAAATCGCATTAACGCGAGCCCTTACTGTAACTCCGGTATAGCCATGCACCTCAAAACTATTATGTTATTGATAATAGTGTCTCAATTGATTCCGTAACAATTTTGAACGAAGCTTAAAGGTGCATACAGATTTGCTCGATTCTATCGATCGTTACTGTCCATCGACAATGGCGATTGTTTTTTTCGATCGATGTGTTTTGTAGATCGACAGGCGCGATTAGTGATGAAAGAGACTCTGTCTTTTAAGGACTTTTAAAAACCTCGATTAATTTTTAACGCCTCACGACTAGTCTAGTCTTTTAACCCTCAAGTCTTGAGTCATAAGACTAAAACTGAAGACTTAATTCGAGTCGAAGTCTTTTAAACCCTAGGAAGCTTGAAATACTTATAGGACTAAAACGACTAAAAAGACTAAATCGACTGGCGCCTCATATCCTCGGGAGTCGCGAATCATGAGCTATATGGCGTGATTTTATTTCTACCCACAAGGTATTTATTTTACGATGTTTATTATAAGTAAATAAACGTGATTATTTACTACATACTACTTACGTCATTATTATTTATAAACTTCGTGTTTAATAAGACATAAAATAGGTACAAGTCCCTTGCAAACAACCCGAGTCGTTTAAGTCTTTTGAGTCTTTTAATATAACGACTGAGTCTTATTAATAAAAACTCGAACTCCCCAGTCTTAATTTTAGAGTCGAGTCCTGTAAACTGGAGTCGAGTCGTTATAAAACGCCTTAGAAGACTGAGTCTCTTTATCACTAGGCGCGATAGAGCAAATCTATAGGCACCTTGTATTGATCACATGTGTCTGTTGCTACCACTGTCTGTTTTGGTGAAATTACAGGCGCATGGGACTTGTCAACTTATGTCTCAGGGTGTCGGGTCGTAGTGGCAGTGCCCCTCAGATCTTTGCGGTTTAATAAAGCTGTGAGTGACACTGCAATTGTTATGGACAGGCATGTAGCTTTCCATCAGGCGCACGACTTGTTCGTCCCGTCACTTGATGTGATAAAAAAAACACATTTGCTCGATTTGTTTGATCGCAAGTGTCGATCGACAAATCTGTAAGCTTGATATTATAAAAAAAGCGCGGATGCACGTTTAATAAGTTGAATATTTATATGTTTTATTGTAGAATCAACGTCTTCAAATCAAATTCAAGCTATTAATGGGCAGGCATTACAGTACAGAATGATACCTCGGCAATCTTCGTATTTTGTCGTCTGCTGTCGTTACTCTGTGCACTTGGTGCAGTCCGGACGCATTTAATCGATTTGGAAATATGCTTTTAATATACAGGGTTATTTTTAAAATATTAACAACCTTGCAGAACTAGATTACAAACATCGTTAACACGCGTCAGACGTGTGCCAAATATAGGTCTTGAAAGACCTATCTGAGCTCATCCGCCATTTTCGCTTTGTATGGTATGGTTGTGTCATTCTTTCGTGCAAATTATCAAAATCCTAGAAAAATGCCTTGTTGAGCTGTTTTGGAGTGCAAAAATGGTAGCCACACCAAAAATATTACTCGTGGTGGTATTTCTTATCATCGGAAAGTCTTATATTAATAAATTTTCAATTAAGTATCAGTTTATCGAAATATTTTTTTGTTACAAGAAACGAAAGTAAAGCTTATACCCTTGCAATATAATTTATATTTTGGAGAACTAAATTAAAAAGTCGTCGTCGGTCAGTTACAAACCGCTAGATGGCAGCACATTGGTTGAAATTTCAATGTAATATCAGAACGTCGTAACCTGTCATCGAGTATATAACCCAGATGTTATGCTCGTAACCTGTGTAATAACTTTCAACGATATGCTAACAGAGTAAAGTTTAAATTATATTAAATCCAGAATTTGTTATTTCTTTTTAAATTTGTAACTACGACCAATCAAGTAGTGTTTCAAATGAATAATGTGTGAGTTTTGGCAACATCGGTTCTGATAGGAATCGAGGCCTATGGCACTTCCATTGCTTTTTTTCTTCCATGGTAGCACTTATTCCCTATTTCAGTTATAAGTTTTTTAGCATGCTTGGTGTATCGTTAAGGAGTAAATGTTATTATAAGACGTACCGGATTCAAACTGTTATAGATGATACATCTAATAATTACTATACAGACATAGAAATTTGTATTCGGGTGCATCCGAAGATTGCCGACAACGAGACGTTAAGAAAATTTATCCTGCAAATGAGTTTATCCATGACGTCACGCGTTAACGCGAGAACTTGATTTTTTGCGGAATTTTGGGGTTAAAAAAAGGTATATGCTGTGTGTATTAAATAAACATTTAGAATTTAAAAGTGTATGTTGTGTACTCTTGTTTAATTAATTAATGTTGTGTACTATGTTTCTAATCGTGTATTGACCGGCAATTTAAATTATGTTGAGCGCATTATGAAATATTAGTTTTCTTGCTCTGAAATTAAATTCTTCAGTAGACTAGTTAAAAAATTTTCATATACGAGTGGTTATTTTTTTACTCTTAATTCAAGTTTACATTTCTTCCAAATATGATTTCAAAAGATATTCCTTTTTTTTACATGTGATAATAGTAAGTTTGCATTTTTTTTAAATTCCAAAATATCGAGTTACCAATTTAAACCTAGTCTACTAAGTGTTTATTTTCAAATTGGAAATTTTCTCTTTATTATATAATTGTTAAGTTCAAAATAATGCATTTAGCATTATTTTGTCTTGTAAGCTTGCAAAAGCTCTTTTTTAAACAAAAAATGGGCTATAAGAAACGGTGTTGCTTTCAAGAAATAAAAATGCGAATTAATAATGAATATCTTGTTTTAATTATTCTTTACGTCTAGTTACAATAAACTAGTTTAATTACGATACAAATACGAGTGTGCAAAACCACTAAATTCAAGTACTTAATACTAGGAATTTTTACCCTCTAGGGTATGAGTCTATAAATTCATCACACATTAATAGCAAACTTATTGTTATACTGTACACGAATTATTCGTCAGAGTCAGAGCCTGACCCAGTTGAATGCTAGAGAATTGTCAGGTTAATTCTCCGGTCATGAATCGTGTCCATATGTCGAGTTTTGACCGCACGCTGGGCATCGAATGGCGTTCGGAATGCGACCCGCGCATCGCCAGTCGGTTGTCCCCTCTCGTTATACCGCCTTATGATGTCATCCTGCGTCAACTCGAACTCGGAGAAGAAACTCATTAACTCATCAACTGTTGCTCTGAACGGGACGTTTTCCATTGATACAACGCATCCTGGTGCCCCGAAATCTTCGAGTGTGGGATCTTGGTCGTCATCCCTTATCTCTCTCGGATCGCGACCGTTCTCGAAACCACCTCGGCCTCTGCTGAAACCTCGTCCACGCCCACGGTCGAACCCTCGACCGCCTCTATCGACACCTCTGTCGAAACCACCACGACCACGGTACCCACCTCCGCGCATTCCGTCGTAACCACCACGAAAGAAACCACCTCTGTCATAGCCTCCTCTATCGAATCCGCGACCTCTAAATCCCCCTCGTGGGGTAAAGCCACCGCGAGGAGCGTCGAAGTATGGTGGAGGTCCTAGTAGACCTTCACGTATTTCAGGCTGCTTGGGACCTTCCAAGGCTTCTTCAACTACGCTGCGTGTGACTAAGTCTACCGTAATGCGACATCCTTCCAAACTATGGCCATGCTTACTTGCCGCCATACGAGCTTCCTGTGTGGAACGGAATTCACAAAAACAATCTCCCGAAGGCATGCCATTCGCATCCAACATCAAGTGTATTCTAGCTGGAACGGCACCAGTATCAGAGAGGAATTTCACGATCGTTCTATCGGTAGCTTCTCGCGGTAGACCTTTCATGAGAACACAATCGAGAGGTTCATTGTCGAAGTCATTGGCGAGTTGATTGCGCTGTGGCGGAATACTTGGAGCCATTTGAGGCATTTGTTGGTTGGGATTGGGATAAGCTGGTCTATTAGCCCAATTGGCCACAGCAGTACGGGGATCCATGCTGTTAGTTGGGAAGCCAGTAAATCTCGGGTCTTGGACGGATCCTATGAACTGCTGTTGTTGTGGTACGAATGGGGTACCGAACATTCCTGGAGTTTGCTGTTGGGGTGGTATGCTACCAGGAGGGCCTGTGTTGTCGAATTGCGGCCGACGTTGCCGCGGATCTCTAGGCACAGCAGGCTCTCTTTCCACTGGCGGCGTTTGAATTTTAGGCTCACTTTCAATATTAACATTTTGTTTTTGCACACCATGACGTGGATCCGTAGACATCATTTTGTCGTTTTGTATTGCTTTTTCTTTGTCATACTCCTCATCGCTTACGGGAGTTATTGTTGGCTGACGTCTTCCGAATACGTATCTCTCTTTTCGCTCCAGTACAGTTCTTGCGTCTTCAGGTTTTACGAATTGCACGAAAGCGATTTTACTTCGCGTCATGCGACAATCATTGAGCATTATTGACAAGAGAGAGAAATCGCTAAAAGTTTTGATTATGTCATGTTCTTTTACGAAGTTAGGCAAGTCTGTGAGTTTAAGTACATTAAATGGAGGTCCGGGACTCTCTTGCTGTTCTGGTACAGTTATGCTTTCATTCTCGTCATTATCTTCACGGTAGGGAAGGAAAGAATCAACGGCCGCTTCATATGTTTCATCATCTAAATTTTCCACAACAACTTGTGCTCCTTTTAATTCATTGTTCTTACGCTGCAAGGCGAGTTGTTTTGAGCGGGGATCGCAGAAGCGCACGAATATGTTTCCTGTACGGCGGCCCATATTATCATTAATCATTTTTATCCCATGCTTATCAATCATGAATGGGAAAAAGCGCCGCACATCGCCGTAGCTAGTGTGATTAGGAGCGTTTCTTATAGCGACGCAACACTCTCGTGGTGTATCATTGTTATCAAACCGTGAATTACGACCATCGCGGCGGAAATTATTGACACCCCCGCGGCCAACGTTAGTCGCGCCTCCACGGCCACCGTTGAAACGACCTCCATTCTGTTGGTCGTTTCCTTGAAATGCATTTGGATTCCGTTTCTTACCCAACTCTTGCAGTTTGTTAAAAGTATCCGTCATAGCGGGATCGTTAAACCGATTAGAATCTAGTCCTACTGGACTAAGTTGCATCATAAGATTCGGTTGCATCATTTGCATAGGTGGTACATTTTGATTGACAACACCAAAAGCAGGCGGTGGCGGTGCTGCGGGTGAGTCCAGTTGTGGAATATCAAAGGATTTTTCATTCTGTGGAGATTTGCGTTCGGCTCGTCTATCGCGCGAGCGGCGAGACGGCGAGCGATCCCTGGAGCGACTGCGATCTTTCCTGTCGCGTTTTCGGTCGCGCCTGTCTCTGCTACGACTACGATCGCGGCGTCTTCTCTCTCTAGAGCGGGATCTATCACGCCGATCTCTCTTTCGGTCTTTCCTGTCCCTATCCCTCGATCGTGAACGAGATCTAGATCTGCGTCGATCTTTTTCCTTGCTCTTTTTACGTTCAGACTTTTCCTCATCCCTCTCAGGCTCTTCTGGTGTTATTATCGGTGGGCTAATCATTGGAGCTGGGGGTTCAATAACAGCTGGTTGTGGGATTTCTTGCGGGTTGCCAATGCCGGGTATCCCGAAACCCGAGAGGTTGTTTCCTAAAGCTGTAGCGAATGGCGTTAGCGCAGGTGTGGTTTGTATGTTGGGGATGTTTGGTTGGACTGTTGTTATAGTTGTTGCTGGTGGAACAATAGGCGCAGGCGTGGGTACAACGGCAGGTGCTGGCGTTGGAGCTGCAGTCAGGGAGAGAATGGGGACGGTTTGCCGTGCCGCTTCAATGACTTTATGCATTTCTGAGCGGGAGCTGAGTAGCAACTTCACCTGTATCTCCTTGATTTTCCCCCCGTCCAGCATCATCGCCTGACGCGCATCTTCATCCGTACTGTAACAATGCAGACGATACTTTGTTATTTACATGAATGTTTTATTGTTCTATAATGTGTAGGTATAATATAAAATTCACCGCACAACACCCTCTTGTTATAACACCTCTGCTTTGTGTTCATTATTGAAACACACGTTAATGTTTAAAACAATACGAACTTTTAATAAAACTTTAGATAAGTCTATTGGTATTGGTGCAACGGGCTAGTTTCCGCAGCTCGACGTCGAGGCACCGATTTTGCGTGTGGATAAGTCTAATTTAAATAAACTAAAACGCACGTTGATCATACATAGGTTTGAAACTTACAATTCCTCTTTTTACGTCGGGGGTGAACATTCGTTTACGTTTTCACTCTCTGTAGGGCTAGCACGACAGGGCGCGACTAGCACTAGGCGACATAAAGTGCGGTACACCTACTATTATTCACGTATAGACATCTCGTGCTTTATGTCGCTCTCACACAAGCGGCGCCCTCTAATAGCCCTCTAGCCCTACAGATCCTAAGGCTAAAACATTGCGGCGAAACAGAAAGAATTTTTTAACGATATCAAATGTCAAAATGTTTTCGAGCATGCGCGAGAATTCCGCGAAAAACTTTGACTCGATCTAGTTTGTACGTTACGCATTAGACGCATAAAGTTCAATAATGCTACGTACAATATCGTTACAAAAATTCGCTTCCATTCTGTTCCGCCGCAATAAATATAGTCTAAGCACTCACGTACCCACACGCACAAGCACACACACGCGCGCACACACACACACGCGCACTCATACACACACAAACGCTGATTTTAATATTTTTGTAATCTTGAACGATGTAATGAGAAATGTGTATTGAATGATTACATGGTTTATGTAATTTAATACGTGTAGCGAATGAAGAGCGGTGCCTCCTGACACAGGTTGTCCTTTAAAGGAGGCTCCAGTCACTATTGTATAAGAAAGAATGTTTTTAAGAAATAAAGATTTTATTATATGTATTTCACGGGACCCTTAGGGCGCATTTAGTCGTCACGAATTCCATCGCGCTCACCGATTGTTTTATTCAGAGGAATTTAAATGTATTTGCCTAGTAAATAGAATTCAGATTCGCCAGTTATGTACATAATATATATAAATACTTTCGCCTCGTGTAACTGGGCGCTAAACCTTCAAAACCGGAACACAGTAATGTTGACATTACCTACTGCTTGGCGGCAGTACTACCCTGGATGAACTTTTCACAAATAGCTCTACTGCTACTAAAACTGATTTAATTCCGCCTTCCCCATTCCACCATTGTGGGATTAGATGCAGACTGGGGTTCCACGCTTATGTTGTGGGTATTCCAAAGATTCGTACCAAGCGTTTAGCTTCCAAATTTATATGGACAACGGCTAAGAGTGGAATTCCCTGCCTGCAATTTTGTTTTCCGAACGCTATATTACTTGGGTCTTTTCACGGCGAGAGTGAACAGGCGTTATTTAAGTGTGCATGTTACATGGTCGAGCTGATCGTCGCTCTCCAACAGGCGGGATGGATCTCAACTGCACATGAACCGAAAATCCGTAGATGCTATAAATTGTATACTAGGCAATCCTCACACGAAACGATTACTATTTGTTAAATTGACTTTCCAGCAGGCCCAGCAGCGCCGCCCAGACATGTAAACTATACTTTAGAAGACGATGGAACTGACATTGTACAAAAGTTGCTAAATAAATTAAGATTTAAAAAACTCAAGCACTAAGCTGGACTACGCATTTATTGACCGTTTTATAAAAATTAAGACGAAACAGGAGGTTTGGTGGGTACTAAACATATGAAATAGCGCTTATTCCCAGTTGCCACCACTGGCTTTGTTCCCACTAGCGATAATGGGAAAAGAAGTCCCATATGTTAACCAGGTGGTGACAAACGGGATAAAAAAATCTCAGTTGTTGCCAGTAGTGATTTCTACTGGCGACAAATGGGAAAAAAAAACCCCATATGCCACCAGGTGGCGACAAACGGGATAAAAAGATCTGTTGTTGCCACTGGCGGCTAATGAAATTTAAAATATCCCAGTAGTAAAAAAAAAACAAAAGAAATAAAAAAATCCTATTAATGTAAGTTTGTTGCCGCCATCGAAAGGAAATACAATTTGAGTTAATAACATCTATACTTTTATCATTGAACTCGATATTTAGAGAGAGAATAGAGAATGTAGATTCTGCCACAGGGCAGATCAAACTCCTGTTCATCTACTCACCCAATACTACCCCCTAATGGGCGTGTGAAGTTCCATACTGGGAAGGCACGTGCCACAACTAAAGGACATTAAATCTGTCGGAGCCAGGAAATTTTTTCAGTTCTTCAATGCCGACGGCATTGGTTTTGCACTGTAATTAGTGGTGATCACAATAGATCAGTCAATAGTCGCAGTGATGAGGGGATGCCTGGGCCCTAAACGAAGTCACCCTAATAATTATAAGTAATTGTGATGGTATTCTTATCTTAAATAAGGTGTGATCACACTGGGACAAATCTTGTAACACTAACTAATAATCTGAAACTATTTTCTTTTCGGATTTAAATCGAGTACATTTGTTTTTTTCAAACAAACCAACGTTTCAGGCTCTTTCAAGTTCCATGGTCACGAATGACTAAGGTAATATTTATGCATAACTAATAATTGTGAACTAAAGTTGCAAGTTACTTAAGAGGGAGCATGCCAAAAAAGTTTTGAAATTTGTGAAACAAATATATGCCTGAAGTTCGCGTGACATGCGACAGATGTTGAATTTTTCGCATTAAAAGTACCAAATTCGTTTTAGCGGAATAACTGTAAAACTAAAGGGATTTAAAAAAATCCGTAGTGACAGTTGTCGATCATGCATAAATATAATTAATTATCTAATTTTTGTCCTAATAACCTACAGCATTTCGAGGATAAATCGAAAAAATGTGAAAATTAGAGGTCATTTCGTGATTTTTATCTATCGAGGAAACTTTATTGTTTTATGTTTCTGATTAATGTCTATGCTTGAATATATCGTGTAGTTACTCATACAATATTTTATTTTTAACTTTAAAGTGGATATACCCCTCTAAAATCAAATCGAAGATTAGGAATTTTTCGTCTGCTCCCTCTTAAAGTGACGGACTTCTTTTGTAAGGATCTGGGGTTTACTTGCAAAAAAAGTCCATTTCCTAAATTTGTAGGTAATTAATATAGCGATTTCAATGTATGTAAGTTGCTCTGTGAAATAAAGATCTTTTTAATTTTGAGAGGTGTCAATTTATGATTAACAGGTACCAAGGTATCTACGGTAAACGGAAGTCCTCTCCATGAAAAGAGAGTCAATCTTTATTAAAAAAATAATTACATATAAATAATAATAATAACGCCCACACTCAACATAGCCTTGCACTAGGGAAACCCTGTGTCGCAGGTGCCATGGACACACACATAGACAACTACAAATTACACCCAAACTCACGAGAGAAATAAATGTAGGCCATACAAATGTTTATCTCCGCCCGGGAATCGAACCTGGGACCTCTACGTGGCAGTCCGGCATGGTAACCGTTCGGCCACGGAGGCAGTTATCAGCACTAGGCTTCGTTAAGTGGTAAAAAAAAGTATGGTAACTGAATTATCTCTGAACAGAAGAGTACTAAAAAAACCCACCTCAAAAGTTCGTGGAATTACCCACATCTATTTGCTAAGTTTTATTGAAATCGGTTACCGGAAAGTGCGCGAAAGTGGATTCATCCCCTAGTTTGTCACACTTGGAGATGGATTATTTTCTTCAAATTTAAACGGGACCAATACTGAGGTACCCTCATTCCGACAAAAAAAAAATCATAAAACTCAGTTCACGAAAAGAGTTATCGCGTAACATATGTACATATAAAAAAAACTAAAAAAAAATACTGTGGCATTGAGAATCTCCTCCTTCTTTGAAATAGGTTAAAAACTGAGATTCACAAGAGATTTCGTCAAAAATTTCTAACCTAAAAAAATCCCGGCCTGTATGGCTTCCAGAAAGTAGGTATCTGACCTTGATTTTGCAAACATAAACTTAGCTTAAGTCAGTGAATCTGTCAATTTATGTTAAAAAAAACGACAGTATGTATCATAATTCAAGGCGTCGAATTAGTCCCTGCCCTTAGACTAATTCCATTACTTCAGGGCCCCAAATCTACTAATTAAAATGTTGTTGAGTTGTTTTGAGTGTGTGACTCAAAAAATAATAGAAAATCTCTCAAATTCACTGAGATTATATTGGAGTGGCAATGATAGCATTCATTCAATAACTAACAATCGATGTTGCCGTCCTTTTTAAATTGTTTTATTATATTATATATGACTACGTTATTGACGTGCTATCGAAATTGCCACTGAAGAGCAGGATACCAAAAAAATGCAATGGCAGTTGAATAGTAGCTCGATGCTGCTCTCAACTTTTAGCAGAATTACACAATGACGTATCTAGTTCCGTTGCACAGGAGGCTAATTTCGAAGAAAAATGAGTATAGTCTGATATGCTGTTGACTGTACAAAATCCTGCCACAGACACCCTATCGACACATATCGCGGTTTTTTTTATAACATCAAGCGACGGGACGAACAAGTCGCTCGCCTGATGGTAAACTACACGCATCGAGTATATAAACTCGATGGCTATACGCCTGTCCTTAACAGTTACAGTGCCACTCAGAGCTTTAAGTCGCAAAGATCTGAGGGGCACTGCCACTGCGCCTGTCGTGAGATATAAGGTGTTCCATGTGCCTGTAATTTCACCATTGAGATGATTTAATACTAGTAGACTTGGGCCCAGACCTCTTGAATTTAACAATCAAGTTAAATATGTCGTAGAGAATAGTGCGAGCCTTTTTAGTTGGCTCGCACTATTCTCTACGACATTTGTGTATAGTACACATATTAAGACTACCATAGTATACTCGTGTATACAAAAATCGTTTTTATTTGCTAAAAGAAATCATGGTACACCTTTTAAATTCGATTA